CATAATATGAAATTATTATATACCATAAATTATTTTATATGAAAATCCATATATATGGATCTTTTTACCAGATATATATGGTTCTTGGTTATATAAATATAGAAATGATTTAGTGTTATTGGAAAATATTTTGAATTTTCGAAATTCAAACTCAACTAAAAGCTTGATTTATTAAAAAAAAAAAAATCAGTAATTTCCAAATTATTTAGACGAAAAGTTAATTACTATTTTAATTAAATTATTTACCTTATTATATAATAATAAATAGATAGATAAATTAATAGATATAAATATATTATAACATTCAACTAACTAATGTGTTCGTAATAATTAAAGACTCAACAAAGTACAATGAGCACGGAATAACTCAAATTTCCTTAAGAAATCCCCAAAGCAAAAAGACAAACCAAAAAACGCGTCGGCTCTTTCTCATATGAACTCAACTTATTGTCATTAATCTTATGCATAGAACATTTAGAAAAGTAGAATAGAATGAATCGCTTCATCTATTTCATTGTAGATCATCACATACATGTTGCGATAGGCTTAAGCTTGTGTGCCCAATTCTCTATATTCAACCTTGAATTGGAAAACACCATAGACATCTTGAACCTTGAAAGATGTATAATCAAGGCCCTGCAGGGAATGAAATATAAAGTATTTAAGAAAGAAGGTATGTCCAACATGCCGGAACAGAAAAACACTTCAATAATTTTTCATATTCTTGAATAAGTAAATAGCACCTTCTGATCAATAGGAAGTTTTTCAAAACATAAGGGCTCATCATATAAAATTGAACTTACAGATCATCAGCCACATATGGTTCCCAACTCTTACCAAACCACTGGTACTTCAACAAAGTAATCCTTTAACAAAAGTAATGCACCAATTAAAAGTTTATCGGAATTAGTCACTTCACTTACTTGTAGGTACTTTTTGGAATAAATTATTACCAGTTCATCTTTGATCCTATACATTGAGGGTTCATGTTGTGAGTATTTTTACCGGAGCATAATCGAAAGATTCGACACCGGGTCGTATCGCAAGGAAGGTTAGCCGGATTATTAAGCACGTTTACTCAACACAATTAAAAGAAATAATATTCCTAAACATTCTAAACCAAATAGTTGGATGGGTTTTTAGCTATAGACTACTGC